ACAGATCCATGTTGTACTTCTGATGCACAGCCACATGCATTTCTCCTCAGTGGACCAGCTTCACCAGGTAATAATAAACTAAGTGAAAGGAACGCTTTTAAGTTTGGGATAAGGCAATCATTTAGTCATTCAAGCACCTATTTCTCCCCTTGATTTTTAAAAAACACATTTATACAAATAATGGATGATCTCTTAAAAATACAGTACAAAATAAGTAATCACCACCTGGATTCCCACTACCCGAAGACAACCACCTATATATAATGTCCCCTAAATAGACTTCCCCATAAGTGCTTGCTATATGCAACCTCCATTAAAATTAACAATATACCATATGTTTCTCTGTTTGGTATACATGGATCTTGCCATAGCTGAATACTATGCTATTTTATGGATTTCCCATAATTATTTAACCTTTAATGATAAATTAGACTCAGAATTTTTGCTATTACAGTATTTACAAAAATGTCTCTGTACCTGTACCTTCATGTATTTGTCCCATTAGGATAGATTCCTAAAAGTGGATTCTTCTGATCCTATGTTGTTTTTTACCTACCTCTTGTTGGAAGGAGTAGTTTACAAATACACTTTTTAAAAAGGCAGAAAAATTAAGGCTTTTTGAAGTGAAGAGGAAGTAAAGCTTACTGAAAAAGAGTTGTTAAAAGTGGCTCTTGAGTAAACTCAGCAAAATAGTTTTTCTTGTGACAGTAGTTGTCTGCAGGAGGAATAGGAAAACCTGGCAGGGAAAAAAAAACATTCAAAGTCTATAATACTGTGAAATAAAATTAGATTAGGAAACATGAACTTGTTCAGAACTAAATTCTGCAGTACTGCCAGTTTGGGAGGCCAAGTATAAGTGGGTAAAATCTGGTAAGGGGAGGTAAAGGTAGAGACTAGACTATATCAGCAAGAAATTAAGATGATCATCATTCATTAGTTTATTTCTTAGAAGATGAATTAGCTGGCAGCCTCAACTAACAAAGCTGGAAATTTAAAAGTAAATAAAGCCTTAGTAGGTATGGACTACTTTAGCTAATATAAATAAAGCTCTGCTATACTTTATTCATGTTGATGGCCACAACTCTAACAAGCATAGTTAACTGGTCCCAACTATGCAGGTTATAAAGATATAGTGAAAAGAGGCATTGAGGCTACATTGGGGATAGATTGATTATACACAGAACAGGACAAAAAACTGCTAACAAATCCATGTATTTGTGCATAAAATACTTACAGCAGTGTTATAATGGATGGCTATCATAATCGTGAGTTCTCAAAAAAATTTCAGATGTTTCAAGAAATGAGAAATGTTGTGTTTGGAAATTGAATCTCCTTAAGTGGCACTTTAAGAGGAATGTATTCTGAAGAAATCTTTTATATCAAGTATCTGATAATGCTAAATGGCTATTAGATTAATAATCTTTAGGGACTCTGACCATAAAATATAATATTGACTATTACGAATATATTCTCAGTATTTATTTTTACAAAATGGTCTCGTAGCTAAAATCATTAATTTACAAAAAAAAACTTTATTAATGAAGTTTTGTTTTTATTTTGTAGTTTTCTCCACTCACCTTTAGACTTTTCAAACCCTTATATTTGATTGCATACATCTTGCTGTCTTTTTCCAGTCACAAGCAAAAGATCCAAGTGAAACCTCTTTAGTTAGAAGATGCTTTCTGTAATGGCTCTAAATGAGGTGCTTTTTTTGTTGTTCATGTTATATATAGGGACTTCATCTGCAACATCTTCGCCATTAAAAAAAGAACAGCCCTTATTCACTCTACGGCAGGTTGGGATGATCTGTGAACGTTTGTTGAAAGAACGTGAAGAGAAAGTTCGAGAAGAGTATGAAGAAATACTGAACACAAAACTTGCAGGTATGGGGATGAGTTTATAAAGTCTACCAGAAGGTCACTATAAGAAATGCATTATTTCCTATTTGTACTTCACAACACTTATACTTTCTACATGCTAGCAGAATGTTTTCTAAGAACCAGAGAATTTCATTTCAAAAAATGAAATGAGCTCATGGCCTCCTTAGGGACCTCAAGAAACAGTATATGTTAGCCATGTAGATCAATAGTATTAGTGAACTAGATTTTTCTTATGATGTACCGTGTTAAAAACTTGACTTTGGCTGTTTACTTCAATTTGGAAACTTGAAATAATCTGGCACTACACACAGCATTTTAGAGCAGGGGTCCCCAACCCCTGGGGCCATGGACTGGTACCAGTCTATGGCCTATTAAGAACCAGGCCACACAGCAGGAGGTGAGTGGCAAGTGAGCTGCAGGCAAGCAAGTTAAGCTTCATCTGTATTTGCAGCTGCTTGCTCCCCAACACTAGCATCACTGCCTTAGCTCATCAGATCATCAGGTATTAGATTCTCATAGGAGCACTGGTCTCTAGTGCCAAAAAGGTTGGGGACCACTGTTTTAGAGTATCAAGCTGCTGCAGTCTTAATTATCCAAAAATTTTTTAAGTAAAATTTGATAAGTGCAGTAAATAAAATTTGTTATGTATGGTAACTTAATCAGAATCCTCACTCGTTTTTTGTGCTACAGATTTTATTTGATACCAGTATTGTAAGCTTTTTGATTCGTAAGGAATTAAAGGTGCTAATGTAGGCAAGAGAATTTGTCATAGAACATTTTTTTCTATGACATATGATTAGGTTATACGTGGTTTTTTTTTTTTTAGGTGTCTTTTTTTTTAATTAGGTTATACGTGGTTGTTTTTTTTTGGTGTCATTTTTTTTAAAGCTTTTGTCTTTTTTCCTTGCATTGCAATAAATTGCCATTCATAAACGACTTATAATAAACCTTCAGAGTAGAAAGATACCTTTTTTTCCAAGCCCTTTATTTTTAATAGGTTAAGAAATAGGCCCCACTCAGCCTACATTTGAGGTTGTATGTGGTTTGGACTAAAGCATAGGTTTCCATTTAGTATTACTGTTATTATTGAGGTTACGTGTCTCATTAAGTGCCAACTTAGAATTGTTTCACTGTATATTTTCACTATACATATAGGATTTTTCAGAGTTTATCTTGCTCTAATTTATTAGGGCATTTTGCAAGTCATGTAATTGACATGTACCTTTATTTATAGAACAATATGATGCATTTGTGAAGTTTACGCATGATCAGATAATGCGACGATATGGAGAACAGCCTGCTAGTTGTAAGTATTTTTTAAGAAGACATTTATTATAATTATCTTCATACCCAAGAAGAGAAATAAACAGAAAATAATGGAGGAGAAACTTGGAGGAAATAGGCAGCAAATTTTACTAAGGCTTATTTTTGGTTACTTTAATACCTAAGGCAGTATTGGGGATAAAGATCTGGTATGTGTTTGAATTTTTAATTAGACTTGGCACTAATTTTCCTTTTCTTCCCCTTTAGATGTTTCATGAATCACATTTTCTGCATTTGTGGGCTGCCTTGTTCCTTGTTGAGTTGTTGCAAGAGGTCCCAATTATGACATGCAGCAATGCCAACACCCCCCTGTGAATACAGGTTATTTCAAGCTTTCTTCAGTGGCAACCACTCTTAGGCAGCAACTGGTTTTGGAAATTTCCCTGATGTCAGTACCACCCAGATGTGGACCTTTGCTACCTGTATTAATACCAGTGGCCTCATTTGCTGTATCATTACAATTTGGCTTCTTATATTAATATGTTTGAAAAGGATTAAAGCTGGTATTCTAAGAACATGCCCTTCACTGGTTATGTAAATAAAAACTGTAGAATGACACTTCAGATGAAGTTAGTGTGATTTTAATTGTGCACTACAACCAAGCTGTAACCAGTTATTAATAATTTAGAATGTAATCCCAGGACATTATTAAGCAAATAGCCTACAGTGCTTCCTGTGAAATAGTGAAGGAGGAGGGCATTTCTGTATTCCAGGACTTCTTGGGGTTTCCGAATGGGTTTATATGATTTTCTTTTTTTTGGTAGTTTTTATTTATTCTATCAGTCTTTTTAACAAATGTTTATTGCTGCATTTTTTTCCCAGTGTATCATTGTTTTACTGCCCTTGTAGTACTGGAATTTAGTTGGAAGAATAAAACATTTACTTCTAACCTGCTTGTTTTTTAATGTGCAGAAGGGTAGTATTTGAATAAAGCCAGTGTTTTAATCTAAGCATTTTCTAGGAATCAGTGTTAATTTCCTGAAAAGGTTTGTAAATCAGTCTTGTCTTTCACCAAATCTAAGATTTGAGTGTTTTCAAAACCTGAGTCTGATTCCAAATTGCTTTTCTTATAACTGACTGCATGAGAAAATGTTACATAAATGATCAGTTTTAACGGCTGCGGAATTTTTACCTCAAAGATGTCAGCAGATTCCAAGTTATTTTTTTAAAGGATGATATATGAAAACACATTTAACTCACTTTCAATACATGCTTTTCAAACATAGCTTTCCTATAATGAAGTACACAAAAATGCTACAGTGAATTCTTTCATTGAATTGTTAGCATATTTCCACTAATTAAACCAATCATAAATGTACTGGGACATATGTATTTATAACTTACCTAATTTGTGGAAGATTTTTTTAACACTTATTTCACCTTTGTTTTAAAACAAGACCAAAAAGAGGTGCAAGGCTTTATTTCACAAGATCGTCAGATAATTCATATGCACATTATTTGAGAGACATTGGTATAACACAGGATGGCAGTAAGGTGGATAATTCTACTTGGTTTTAATGGACAAATACAAGAGTTTCACCGTCAATACTATTGACAACTTGAGTCAGGTACATTCTGTTTTGTGTGTTTGTCCTGTGCATTGTAGGATCTCTACCACTAGATGCCAGTAGAACTCCCTCCGCCACTACGCCACCTATTGTGACAACCAAAACGTACCTCCAGAGAAGGGAAAACGTGAGGGGTGGAGGAAGGAAACAGTCCCCAGTTGACAACCACTTTGGTATAGTGAGATAGCATTTTTAGGAGAATGCAAGTAAAAATATAAAAGAATGAGAGTAGAGTGAATGTAGATATATTTATCGTTTAACTCCTCAGGGCAAAATAATGAACATTCTTTTAAGTGAGCATGTATGAATTTTCACATAGATTTAAATTTATAAAAGAACTGATTTTTATACTTGGGGGAGGGCAAGATATATTAAAGAGAAATCAGAGGCGCCCACAAGTGCAGGCAGGCATACCTTGGAGATAGGACAGGTTTGGTTCCAGACTACTTAATATCACAGTATGGTGAGTCACACAAATTTTCTGGTTTCCCAGTGCATATAAAGTTATATTTATATTGTAGTCTGTTAAGTACAATAACATTATTTCTCAATTTACATACCTTAATTTTAAAATACTTTATTGCTAAAAAAAAATGCTAACCATCATCTGAGCCTTCAGTGAGTTGTACTCATTTTGCTGGTGGGTTCTTGCCTTGGTGTGGATGAAAATGCAGTATCTGCGGAGTGCAATAAAGCAAAGCGCAATAAAACAAGGTATGCCTGTAATACGGTTTTAATTCTAGATTCAACTTTGGTCAAGAATAAAATTTCCTCTACAGCCAAATTTCTGCTTATCACCTTACCAAAAAGTCCTAACTTAAGGGTTACTATACTGATTTTAAGTAGTGTGTGAGGTAATTCTAGAAAAAAAAATGGGCAACCTCTTGGATATAGTTATTAGATGAATTCAGTAGTTGATGACTCTAGTACAAATACCAACCACATTTGATCTCAATAAGAAAGATTATATTAGCTGCCTAGGGATTCTGAATTCCCATAAATCTCTGGAATTGCTTTCAATAGGTAAACACCTACAGAATTTAGTGTGCTAATAATCATTTTGGTAAAAGGCAATGCTTAGTATGGTACTGTAGTTAGGTTATTGTAATGTGTTCAATAAGTTCCTCATTAACAGGGGTACACTGCAAGGTATAGTTCTTTGTAGTTTTGAGACAAAAAATAAGCATAGGCAATCCAAGAGAGTATCAGAGGCTTAAAATATCAAAGCTATCATTGGCCTATGGCAAAAACTTATATCCCTAAAGAAAATGGTTTCCAAAGGAGACATTTATTGCATCAGCAATATTAAGTGGAGAATTTTTAGGAAAGATCCTGGATTCTACCCATCTCCAGACTGCTTTAGAGGACAGGGGAGAGGAGGACTGTCGGAATCTGATTAATATGCTCTGTGGGTGATCTAAGCAGCTAGGGTTGAAAGTGATTGTCTTTGCCTCATTTGGGTTTTTATTCTCTTCAAAATTATACAGTAATAGTAATTGGTGTTAAGTGAATATTCTGCTCAAGCACCTAATAGCCTGTCCTTGTCTACTCAGACATCGTTCCAGCAATTCTCTGCTACGTCTGCTCTAAGTAAGAATCGGTTCCAAGTGCCCATCTCATTCAAAGACACAGTAATAGAAGTCCTCTCTTCTGCATCCATTTTCTGTTTACCAGATCATATCCATAAGCCTAATAAACATACTATTAAGTCTTCTGATCCCTTAAATCCCCTTTGGCTCTGGTACCCTATTTTTCTGCTCTATAATAACCTTCAAAGCAAAACTCAAGAATTTCCTAAACTTTGAATCTCCTTCCCCCTTTTCCACTACCTTTTTATTAGAACATTCAAACGAAAGCTGAAAGAACAGTCCAATGCTCCAGTTAAAGTGATCAGTTATTACTGTACCATATTGGCTTTACATGTAAATAAAGAATGTATACATACTGCAGCTCCTAAGAATAAGGTGGTTCTATATATTTTAGGTACCATTATTCCACTTAAAATACTTCCCTAATTTAATATTCAGTCCATATTCACATTTTCCCATTTGTCTCTAAAATATCTTTTGGAGCAGGAATGAGTACTATTAAATCAACTATAAATTTATATTCCTGGATAAAGGAAATTAACATTTATATACTACGTATGTTCAAGAACAATTTATTTAATGATATGAAAATTACAGTGATTTTGTGAGAGGACAGTGTAAGCATGTTATTTGTTGAATTGTACTCCAGTGGTGTTCTGATATATTAATATATCTTAGGGGTTAGCGATCTACTTCCTAGTTAAACATCACACAGGGATTACACATTTCTTGCCAAAACAATCTTCCTCTAGTGGTATGTATGATTGGTCTCCCTTTTCTCAAGCTAAATGTGATCCTTCTGGGCTTCATTTGCTTTCTAGCAGCCTCCCCATGTTAGCCTTGCCACATGGTCAGTCTTCTGTTTGGTAGGTTTTATAAATCCTAAAAGTTCTAGTTCAGAAACAGCTCTAATAAACCGAGCACTGGAGGCTATAGCTAAGGAAATTGACCGTGTTATATTCTGACAAAAAGAGATTAAAATTTCAATGTTAGAACATGAGTTGGGAGAGCATTTGAGATGCTCCTGGGCATATGTCATCAGTCTGGCTCAAATAAACTCTTAAAAAATAAAAAAATAATAAAAAGAGTTAGTTTACAATATAGTTCAAACACATACTCCTAAGTCAAACATTAAATGTAATCAGAGTCCACTATCAAAACACGAATGGAAAAGTGTTTAATTCTTACCTAATTCTAAATTTTCACATAGTATGAATTCCCCCTCCCCTTCTAAAAGGTTATTTTTATAATAACCTTATAAAAATAGAGAATAATGAGTTTTACATGTTCTTTATGAACTTTGGAATATGTCCTTGATATGAGTTTTAGACCAAATATTTTAGATTTGTCATTTTAGATTAAATTCAGAATATTTAGAAATGAATTATTCTGGGATTGCCATAGTTAATATTAACAAGTAATAAGGTTGACTAGAGCATGTCTTTATAAATAATGTAGATCTGATGAAACTATAAACATTCTATTATGTATACTTGCACATTATAGAAATGGTTTTAAAAGGATACTGGATAATCTCATTCTTTTCTTCTGAAGTTACAGAATTTGCATCCATGTTCTCAGCAGCTGTCACAACTGTTGCAAAAGCCTTTTGAGAGACAAGACAGAAAATAATCTTTACCGTTGCCAAACATCTTTAATTGCACTTGATGGCTCTGTATGAAGCCAGGTCAAACACTGCTGCTCTTGATTACTGGCATGTTTAAAATTACACTAAATTTCAGATTCTCAAAACTACACTGATGATCTTTCAAATCAAGTATACATTAAAAGGTAATAGACTGGCTCCTGAATGATCTTGTTTCAGAGAACTAAGAAATGTACAGAGAAAAAACTAGTCAAAGTTGAACAATGAAGGATGCCTTCCCTGTATCCTACATTCTCCAACCTCCGTTACCCCAGGAAAATGCCTATTTTTCTTGGAAGCGGCCAAATATGAATATTTTTAAATGGTGACATCTGTCAAATAGGGCCTTCAATAGAGTTAACTTTATAATATTCTGAGGAAAGAATATTTATCGCAAAGAATAACAGTTGTCCATTGCCTTGCCAAGTATTCCTTGTACTTCCTAATTGCTAAATCTGTTGTGTTGTTATTCCAATGTTTTTTTTTTTTCTTTCATGCAGTAAGGGAGATGCTAGTTAATACACTTTTCTTATTTTGTGGAATAACATAACTGACCTGAACTGTTTAGCTTTTGCTTACTGTTAACCGCGGGGTTTGATCCCATACTTATTCTGATCTGGTATGAATGCAGCAATGGCTTTGTTGAGACATATGGAATCAGAGTGCAGGGGACTGGGAGTGTGACTGTTGAGCAGTAGCTACTTTTCTGAAGGAACTTTTGAAATATGAGGTGATTAATGCTTTTGAAACAAGACAGGATATTAAAAAAATAAAAGATGAGTTCCAAAGTACCAAAAATATAAAGATATCCCAGGAAAGTTGTCATGCATGGTAGACAAATACACAGC